AAGGAGACGTCTTTCCAGGAGACCTGGTGTGTGTATGAAGTGAGGGAAGAGGAGAACTGGGTGAGAGCAGTACCACAAATACTAAGATCTAAAGTACTGTATATAAATTACAAAACGTCACCGATGGCATACTTATGTAAATATATTATGCAATTTACAATAAAACTTTCCGATCAAAGGCTTCCTATATACAGTCAGAATTACAGCACTGTCAAATTTATTGCCAAATAATATCTCCATCTCCACAATACCAAACTACTGGACAGAATATAAAACCACCACAACAAAAACATACACATGTTCCAAATATACAGAAATGTGTTTACATTTACATTTAAAAACCCAAATAAGTCATAAGGGAAAGTTAGAAAAAATCATTACAATCTCTCCATTAAATGTTGGATCAAGATTTCTAAGCGTGTGACATCATAGAAGACCCTGTTAGAAGACTGTGTTACCATAGCGCCAATGATGTCACTCAAAGAGTCTTGAAGATGACAGTTGTATTAATCTGCTTCTCAGTCTGAACATGGAGCTGCAATGGGAAACACACTGAGCTGCTTGCAGTGTTCCCCTTGTCAATGTACATGGGACTGTCAGAGAAAAACAAACAAGAAGGCTGATCTGCTAGATGACATCAGACAGAGGAGCAAGCCTGAGAGGAGGAGGAGAGAAAGAGAAGAAAGGAGAGGAAGGGCGAAAGCCACCAAAAGCCTGAAACAGAACAGAAACAGGAGGGCAGGAGGAGCCTGGGTCAAGAGGACTCCTGAAACAACACAGGGGGACAAAAAAGAGTCTGCTGCCAATAGCCCAGCTTTTCTGAGTAACTGCCAAGCCTCAAAAATTAAGCCCGCCTGTGGTGGAATGTATAACACAAATAAGATCCAGCAACAGGAGAAAGACAGAAACAATGACCAAGAACAAGAGATGCCGAACCTCACTGTGCCTCCAGAATCTCTGACGGAACTGAAGGACAGGCCTGGGCCTCTACAGGAACCTGGGCTAGAGGAAAACCCCACCCCCTCTCAACTCTCACTGAACAGACTGCTCCGAGAATGACAGCCCAGGAACCAAACTGAGGACACAAAAGACAATCAGCAGGAAAATGAGCAACAAGTCATGGCTGACAATGACAGTAAATTAGAAGAAGAACGAACGATGAAGACTGAGAATAGGAATGAGGAAGAAACTCCTAAAGAAAATCTGGACAAGGGAATCAAAGCACTAAAGAAGGTAAAAGAGAAAGAGCTGGAAACTACGCATAACAATGAAACACAAAAAGAACAAGATAGGCTACAACCTGAAAATGCTTCCAGGGATGAGAATGATATCAAAAAAGACATAGTAACACCCTATCCAGCCAGGGACAATTCAAAGTCTGAAGCTGAAGACGAGTTTAGCCTAATTCCTGTGCTAGACTACAATCTTGAAAGCAGAAGACAAATGAATGACTGGACACCTGAGTGCTTTTACCTATCGCCCACACAAACACACGGTACAGGGACAACAGTTGACAACTTGAGAGGGGACTGTGAAAAGACAACACAAGGACTGCCAGAGCAAAACACAGAACACCCTAGAGACAGCTCTGAGGATGACATGAAGAGACACAACACTGGAATGGAGAAGGAGGTGGAGAGAAGTGAGGCAGAACTAACTGTCATCAACCAAGAAAAAAAAGTAATAGACTCTGGAAAAAGAATTGCAATGCCAAACACAGAAGAGGACATAATTCAGGACAGGATTCAACAAGAAACGTGTGAAGAATACACAAATTCACCTTTGTGTGGAACAGACACTGAAAGAACAACATCAAGTCCATTTGATGGAAGACGCAAAAAGTCCACTAGACACGCAACATGAAGACATTAAAGAGGACAAAGACATAGAAAATAACAATGAAGAACACTTAAACTCTAAGAAACAAGAGAAACCCTTAGTGACACAAGACAACAATATAAGAAATATGCCACCTTATTCCCCAATGGCTCAATCCAAGGCTCCAGCTGAACACAGGATCAGCCCACTTGCTGTCTCAGACTACAGTCTTGGAAGGAGAAGCCTCATCTGTTGCAGAAGGCAAAGGAATGACTGGAGAGCTGAGGGCTTTTTCCTATTGCCTACAGAGACAGAAGGCAGTGGACTGACAGTGGAGTACAAGACACAGGACTCTGAAATAAAGGACAGCTCTGAGGATGACATGAAGAAACACAAGACAGAAATGGAGAAGGAGGTGGGGAGAAGTGGGTCAGGACGAACTGGCATCAGCCAACAGAAAACAGTAATAGTTCTAATTCTAATGCAAAACATAGTGGAGGACATAGTAAAGGATGGGTTTCAGGAAGAAAATTCTGAAGACAACACAAATTCCGCTTTGTGTGGAACAGACACTGAAAGAACAACATCAAGTCCATCTGAAGCCCCACCTGTGCAGCAGCAATTCCTGACCACCGCAGAACCTCACAGCTCTGCACCTGACACAAAGGACCAAGCTCACCTGAGAGGACAGGAGGGCCACACAAATGGAGCCCCCAGCACACCTCCCACCTCCTGAGAGACGAAGGGCTAAGAAATACAGAAACACAAAACGAACATGAGCTTGAAAAGGAAGAGGAGAAAAGGGAGACAGAGGAGGGAGAAGTGGAAGCCTTACACAACACTGAAACAGAAAGGGAAGAAAATAAGCAACATGATGGAAATGGTACCAGCAGAGTGGAGGAGACAGAAAAAACAAAGAGCCAGTCAAGAGGAAAATATGATGGCTGTGAAAAAAATGACAAAGGTAAGGAGAGTGTGTTAGCAGAATGTAAGGAAGTGACACTCAACAGAACTGAGCCCACAATGTTGCCTGGAACACAGATAGAGCGAACAGTCTGCACTCCTGGAACTTCAAAGAGCCCCGTTCCTGCCACACTGCACCTTCACCCACAAGAAATACAGAGCGGGAAGAAAACTGAGGACGACAGGATGTTCCAAACCCACCAAGTAGACAACAAACTGCGGAAGGAAGATGCACAAAGTGCAGCAGGCAGTGAACACCAAGACAAGAAAGAAGACAAAGACACAGACAACAAGAATGAAGAAAACTTAAATGTAAAGATAAAAATGAAACCATTAGCTATACAGGACAACAATCTGAAGGAGAAATCGCAGCACGGAGAGAAGAGAGATTTAATGGCAGAAATACCAACTAATCTTCCCCCTGTCAAAACACCTCATGATGCAGCACAGGAGTCTGGCTTAAACACAGTTGTGATGAACTTTTCTCATTCTCCTGAGCCCATTAAGCATAGCAGGAGGAGAAGAATCAGGGGAAGAAAGAAAAAGAAAAATATGGAGGCAGGAGGGGATGAACCTGCCCCAGCAGACACGACGCAAAATAACTCCAAGGAGATGCAGTTCGATTACCGTGCCAAGACAGAGGGAGAAAGGAAAAGACAGACAACCCAGACTGTCAAGGAGGAGAAAGTGTCACCTGAGCCCCTCATACAGACAACCGGCGTCCACACTGGGGCCCGACAGGTCCAGCCTCAAATCTCACAGTCAGGTCCACAGCCTGGCATGAGGAACAGGTGTAAGACAGAGCATATGTCTTCCTCCTCAGAAAGCCACTCCAATGGAATGGGAAAGGGGAATGGGAAAATCAATGAACAGGAACACAGTCACATTCCGAAACAAGAGAGAGCTCATATCCAGTGCCAGGCAGGGGTGTGGACCTGCAAAATAATTCTCAACCCGGGGGCAGATGCAAAGTTCAGACACAAAGTTGGGGCCCCCTGGCTTCTATCGGACTTTAGTTTTCTGGAACAGTCAGATGAGGGACAGACGAGTGAAGAGATGGTCCAACTGCACTGAAAGGATTACACCCTGCCCCTAGGCACGCCCTTCCACCCACACAGACAGTGAACAAAAAAAAAAAGACAGTCAGACAGTAACAGTGCACCACAGAAAGTCAGACAAGCTGAACGGAGCTCTAGTGCCACATTTGCACATACACAAGGAGGAAAATGTAAAGCTCAAAACATACAGGACCAGACAAGCGGACCCAACACCTGTCAAGTCTTTAAACACAAGAGGACCGAAGCCCACCTGGCCTACTCTGAGGTAGTGAGAAGACAGTCTGGGCCTGGTGGGAAGAGCAATCCCAAGTCAGACCCCCCCACAGATTACAACGGGGGGAATCACTGAGGACCTGGACAACAGCCTGTGACCAAGAACACTGACTAAGCACCTAAAAAACTCTCAACTTCATTTCTTCAAAAAGAAATTTACAATATGCAATAATAGCTGTGTTTCTCTTCTTTCTACACTAAAAACCTAAGTGCATTTTGTTTCAGAAATGTAGTAGATTCCAGCACAGGTATGGAATGATGGAGAGGCATGTCCTGTCTGGTGTGACACATGAATTTTGTGTCTGTAAATAAATAAAGAAAGACTTTATTCAATGCTTCAACAAGCTTTTGAAATAACTTATTTGTAATATATTAAGAAACTATAAAGAACATTATTGGAATTACTTTCCTACGTATAACCATACGTTATGGTTTGGTTTCACCAATACCCCTCAACAGCTTTTTGGACTCTAATTTACAGTCTATCAGTAATATTACAGACCTAGAATAAGTGAAATGATACAATAAGAACAATCACTGAACCTGATGAACGTCACATCAATACTTTTTTAATGTGATAGAAATTGCATAAATGTGCTCTAGAGAACGTTCCTTCCTTAAAACATATTCCTAATCAACCTAAATTTAAAACAAAAAACATGCAAGATTTATTTAAGTTGTAAAACTCTCAACATTTTCCCTCATTCAATGTTCATGCAATGGATAGAAAGATATAAAGAGAGTTCATCCTTTACAATCCCTTGGATCCTACATGCTGACAACAGTTGAGTCTGCAAAGAAACAAACTTGCAAACAAACTAAAACAACTCAATGTAATAATTCGAATGGACTCAGACATCATACATCACGATGAAGCCGCTGGCTTACCTGTCCAAGAACAAACTGCCTGAAGACTTACGCTCTAGGGCTGGGTGAAAAGCAGAAGAGTTTGCGCCCCCTGTAGGGAGAAAAATAAATCAGCCGCTTTACTGAGAAAAAGGTTCAACAGATTCCTGGAAACTGAATGCTTTTTGAAATATAAATTGACTTTGGATGTGTGTGGCACACCAACAAAAGACAATGAACTCTCTCAGCTGTATCCTTCTGCATTCATTGTCAAGTATTCTTGTACTCATACTCTTCATTTTAACCTTTCTTTCCAAACATTTTAACATTATCCAGTTATACTCCCTATTTAAGTCTTAAAACTGATAAGCCAAAAAATTAAACTTTGATAACATCTTGTTTCCAAAGAAACATGCTAATGACTCTCATGCAACGGCATTCAGATAAAAAATAGTCCACAAACCTGCCAACAACATATCCAACATTCACAGCTCTAATGACAAAGAGGTTGACTGATATTCATCCAGAACAATAGAAAAAGCCAAAAGTTAAGACTAAACTCTTTGAGGGCGACCATGAGCTACTTTGTATGGCCCAAATGAGACAAATATCTAGTATGTGTTGACAGAAATGGATTCTATCCAAAATATACTTGAGACTTTAATATATACAGTAGGAAAGGACTTTCAGAAATTTAGAGAATATGAAAAGGTCTCTGTAAGCTCTCCTGAATTCAGTCCTCCTCTGCTTCATGCAAAGACATTTTTTGGCTCAAAGTGACCATGGAGTATTACTGTATTAACACTGGTGGTGATGGGTAGAATTCTTACCATGTGATTCATTGCAGCTTAACATTTCCTGAGGAGAGTGTGTCAGGGTAAAACAGAAACACCCTTTACACATGTTTTGAACAATATAAGAAGGACAGGGCTGACAAGGAACAGAGAATGGTTGGCCATACCTTCACTCCCTGTGGACAAGACGCTAAAGTCCAGGTGCAAAAGGGGCTGTTGGCTTTAATTCTGAAGAATCCTCTATCTGGGGAGGTGAGAGTCAATTAATTTAAAGAAAAAAACATTACCGATTGCAAAACAGGTTTAAAAACAAACACGAAAAAATATTTTTCAATAAAAACATTAAAATATGATGTTGTTTTTTCATACTTGAGTTTATGACTGTCAATAGTATGTGAATTTGCCAACCTAGTTTAGTTGTTAGTACCACATTGATGTAAGAATCTCATCAAGCAGCACACTGGAGAGCCATAACCCGAATTCTGTATAGTGTTGCTAATGTGGCAGAGCAAAGGTAGCGATGCACTGTGCACAGTATGATATCGCATTAAACACTGAAATTGGCCCCGTGGATGAACCAGGGTGAAAAAAAACATACCTCTTCAAAACGAAAATTGAACAGGTCAGCAAACTAGACAAGTCTAGGATTCTAATCAACACAATATTTCTCTCGGGTGATCAATATTCTTAATTCCAAGAACCGTTTCAATTGGAAAACCTCTGAGGCAAAAAAATAAGGGGGAAATGCTGGAAGTTTTAAGATATTTAAGAATACCTCCAGGATGGAGATTTAAGGACCAAACAGGAGGAACAACGTGCATGTGGTAACCCTATAACGTAAACAGAAGTGCTGTATGTGTAGAGTACACATCCTATATAAATACAGCAAATACTCTATCCTTACCTTGTACCCTAGTCATGTTTTCACATCCACTGCTGCTTCTTAGGATTTCAACAGCTTCATTATTGCTTGAGTGGTCAGGATGCACACTGACTCACTGACCTGTCGCTGGAAACACAGCACACAGAACATACTGAAATGCAGGGGGACCCTGCTTTTACGCCATTGACCACACCCTTAAAGGGAGTCCAACAGTAACTTTCTAGTTAAATCATTGCAAAAAGGGTTTTGTATTATATAAAAATAATGTGCAATATACGTAACTGTCTTGTTTTACACCTATGGGTGACTGAGATGTTTATGTGATTTTTACGTCTTTTCCATGCCCCGACATTACGGCCTCTGAACACAAAGCCCCCAACAAGGTTCAGAGAACCGTCGAGAAGCACAAGCAGACTAAGTCGCCTTAGAAGTTAAATGTCATTTTCCTCAATACAGTACAGGGTGTCCTTATTTTTCACATATACAGTTTTCAATGTAACTTAATGTAGTACTGTACTGTACATAATAGTTTAATTTAAAAGTATTTTACTGTGTGTTGTTTCATCTTCTGCAGCACTGCACGTTCGCGGTACACGACGCCATCTTGTGCGGGAACAGCCTCCCCGTCTCTCATCAGAGTCGTGCGTGGAGAGTCACACGCAGGATTTCTCTCTCGCTCACACAGTCTGTCTCTTTTACTGTTTATTTTTCATTTCCAAGTGTTTCCAGAACGTATAAAAGACGTTTTAATTACATTTAAGTGCTTAACTTAAGAAGTACTATATTACAGTAACCATTCTGTTAATACACAGAAAACGTGAATGGACATTACTACTATCGACTTGCAGTACATCATGCCCTGGTTCCTATTATATTTTTAACACATTGGTACTTGAGGAGATGTCGCACATAAAGCCCTCCGTAGACTATTGACTAACCACTGTTTCCCTTATTTCTTGTTGGAAATCATTCCCCGCTTATCGTCTCTGTTTTACGGTGCCCGTCGAAGACATTAAGTCAAATACCGGCACTTCAGATTTTACTACAGTATGTCTGTGCCCGGGGTACCGCTACACTGGACTCACGCAAATTCTGTGGTTCCCATGATAATGTTTTCTCGGTGAGGAGAGTTTCCATTACTCAGGCGGCGAGCTCCTCCCGCTGGTGAGGACCGCGTCTCCACCAGGGCTGCTTCCCACGCCTGCGGGAGCTTCTGCATATTATCTCACGATTCTTCACGGACATTTTCAACTATCCGTATTTTAACGAAGTCAGGAAAACACCCAAGGGAATTTGATTTTGTTTTTTATTTCGTTTATTTACTGATTAGTATAGTAGTATAATGTATAGTGACGTCCTGCCTGCTTTCTATTACAGTTTAAAACTTGGAATTTTAAGTACTTCATAAATTACTGACCAAGATGTTAAAAGCAGCTCATATCCTGTCAGATTTTGCTAACGTTAGCTTTTTACAGGTACTGTACATAAATTCTGCTAAGTGTGAAAGTTATACTGTACATTTGTTTTAGGAAGCAAACGTCAAACATAAATGGCATTTTTCACAAGACTTTCTAAGTCTCTCCTTAATTAAAGGATATATAACCACCTTTCATAAATAAAATTTGTCCTTTGTAAAAGTTGTTCTCTGTGCCCCATTGTATCCAGTACAGATGGTGTGGATTGAAATAATCCAATCCGTTTAGTCTAAAATGATTTATATCACTTACATGGACAGTGGCCTCGCAGCTATCGTCAGTATAATGTACGCAGGCGAACATCTCTCTCTGTCAGTCCGACAGTTAACGGCATCAACCAGGGGTTTGTGTGCGAGTCTGTTGTTTAATTCGTGTCAGTGTGTACAAGACGATGAATTCCCACACTTTTTATCAATTATTACTTAATATAATTATTTTAGTTCCAATATATTGTAGCGTTTACAGGTTCTTTTCAGAACAAAGGACGAGTGGAGACGCGATTAACAAACAACCATTAGCTTTATTCATTAACAACCAGCAGCCATATCACCCTGCAACTCACAAC